ATTGCTTCTGNAATCAACATCAAGTTCTAATATTTGATGAAGTTCACAATTAATGTAAAAGTCATAATAAATTACGTCAACAAATTAAGTTCCAATAATATTGCTTCTATGTATAAACACAAATTATGTATTTACCACACGTTATAGCATGTGCAATGTCAGTTTCTGAATTGATATCTCCTTGACTTTTCTAACCTCAATAAGGCTTGTGATCCCCTTAGTCTTCTCTGGTTACTATCAGGATAGATATATTGATCTTCGTTACCATGGTTCCTACAGTTTAAATCATGCCTTCTTCATTATTTTTGTTCACTTTTTTGTCTTGTGCGACTCCTACACTTGTGGACTATGTTCTTTGATAATAATGATTAAGGAGATCATATTGTCTGAAAACAAAACAAAAAGAAAATCCCAAAAATGGGGGAAATAATCAAAGTGTTTGGGCTGTAAACCATAGACATACACTGATTTGGTACTAATAACTACATTTGTATGTGTTGGACTTCAATGTCTGACGGTTGACTTAAAATCCTTGGTTATAAGGAATTGAACAAGGGTCACATCAAAAGAAACTAGGAAGGAAACCCTAAAACTTTATAAATACATAGAAGTAAGTCAATTGCTACAATGGCACTCATGAAGATTTGAAAAAAAAAGTTTTTTTTAAAAAAAACAGGTGGGATTAGCTAGGAAGCTAAGTAAGCTGATTGACAAAGCTACTATATTGATGCCTTTCAAGGGGAAGTGAGTAGTTTGATGATGCTGACTATATATTTGAATTAAGGACCAGTAGTTACTATAGTTAATATGTATCTCCACACACACTCATATATATCAAAAGCAATGATTTGTATCTAGGGTTTACTTTCTAGACACAAAACTACACTCTAATTTGTTGAAGGCATGCAGAGATGCTGCTCCATGATATATACAAGCTAGTTTGAAATCGGAAACCCTAAAATCCTAGAAACACAACTACCACACATGAAAATCAAAATCAAAAATAAGAATAAAGTATTTGTTCATTTATTCCATGAGAGAGCATTTTGATAAGCTGACCAAGAAAATAGATACACAAGAAATTCAAGGATCCAAACCAGTGATAATCTAGGATGTTCCAAGCTTGCAACCATACAGAGTCTCATGCTGAGCCTTTAAATTCGAAGATCAAGCTTTTCATGTGTTAAAAACTTAAAACTAAGAAAATAAAAAAAACACCACTTAAACTAGTTTAAGGACTATATAGGTTTTACAAAGGAAGATGTCTTAATTTCACCCCTTTCTGTTTTGGAGCTATTTTCTGTTGGGACAACATTGGATTAAAATGGTGGTATGTTTCTGAAGATTCTATCGAAGTTGCAGCAGAGTGGATGACATTAAAATAATGAAGCAAAACTCTGGGAAATTCCCACCTTACTAACTCCCAGCAAGTTGCAGCCAAGATGTCAAAGGAATCTATCATAGTCCTATGTCCCTTTTTATAAGGGTTCCAGAGAAATCTGTGACAGAAGTTCCATCTGATCCATGTGTCAAAGAAATACATACCTTTTATTGGTTAAAAAAACTCTACTAAGAGTACAGTTCTCCACCATACCAGTCAGCAGTTAGGACTGAAGAGGCTTTGGTCGGTCGATGANAAAAAAAAAAAAAAAAAAGGCTACCCAGTTTCAAATTTTGTCAACACTTTTAACAAACCATGACCATTGCTTACCAACCAATTTTTTCAGATGCAAAAGTCAGAGTGAAAACAATTGTTTGGTTTAAAGTATCACAACTGCATCCAACTATCTTAATTGTTTGGTCAGCCAACGGGTGAATCCATGAATACTTACGTTTATGTGGCCCTTCTAAAGGCTAAAGTAAGCTGGTAAGTAAGAGAAATTTTGATTTCAAAGGGAGAGAAGATCTATTTGATCCATCTCCACATGAAATATGTTGACATTCTCCTACTTTCTTCGATTAATATATTCAATAACAATATGTAGTTCTACTTTGGTGGATTTTCATGGAGAATGTGTTACTCACTATGCAATTGGATCAGTCCTGATAATAGAGTGTGACACTGATTTTTCTACTTAATGACGATTGATTGCCAATCTTTCATGTCTTATATATTTTAAACAAAAAATAACATCTCCGTTCATCCCCAAAAATGAGGTCCAAGAGGGGTAAAAATTGGGTGTAAGTTTAATTTTTAATTTTTCACAAAATAATTGCCCTCAATTACAAATCCACAATCTCAAAAATTATTAGGATGAATTTTTACCATTGAATTGTCATGAACAATGAAGACCGTATTGAGCAACTATAAGTTTCACATTTAGTGGCGACTTTGAGAATCTCGCCATTGAATGATTTAGCTGCATAACATATATATTGGCACATGACATGATGATAAAAGAATGTTACTTCAGAAGAACACTCTCCATGAAAACTTTTGTGCAGTAATACACTTCTTGACAGGCCAGGAGCCAAACTAATGGCCTTACAAGTAAATTAGGGCACACAAAGATAAGAGCAAACAAATAAATAAATGCTACTTACCCAACATAGCTAAGTGTTACTTTCCCCAAAAACTAACTAAATATTTATCAAATATATCACTTGACTGTAATGATTTGAAACTAAACATTCCTTTAAAGCATTCTAAGCTCCTCTCTGACCTTGGCTTTACAAGTTCCTGATCTCCTTCTTCATAGGAAAGTTTCTTGATCACATCTGAATTCCTTTTCTGACCAGTAAACTACAAGAACATAACATTTATGATGCTATTGACTGGAATAGGATGTGATATTGTTTTTACGGTATTTTACAATCACTCTCTCTCAGTTGAAGAAATTCGGTCTGTCAAATTTGTCACCAACACAGATATATATCAAGGTTTATTTACACATGTTACGTAACCATCTTGAGAGTGAATTGAAAGCTGCATAATTGCAGCTTGTTAGGTAACTATCGGCATCAAGCATATTAATAGCATTTCACTTTTTCTAATATACTAGTCTTTAAGAGAATTATGTACAAGAGTAATCTTATTTGAATATAAAAATTTGACTTAATTTGTTGATATAATGATCTAACTTCAATAGAACTATTGAATCAACATCAAGTTCTAATATTTGATGAAGTTCACAATTAATGTAAAAGTCATAATGAATTACGTCAACAAATTAAGTTCCAATAGTATTGCTTCTGTGTATAAACACAAATTATGTATTTACCACACGTTATAGCATGTGCAATGTCAGTTTCTGAATTGATATCTCCTTGACTTTTCTAACCTCAATAAGGCTTGTGATCCCCTTAGTCTTCTCTGGTTACTATCAGGATAGATATATTGATCTTCGTTACCATGGTTCCTACAGTTTAAATCATGCCTTCTTCATTATTTTTGTTCACTTTTTTGTCTTGTGCGACTCCTACACTTGTGGACTATGTTCTTTGATAATAATGATTAAGGAGATCATATTGTCCGAAAACAAAACAAAAAGAAAATCCCAAAAATGGGGGAAATAATCAAAGTGTTTGGGCTGTAAACCATAGACATACACTGATTTGGTACTAATAACTACATTTGTATGTGTTGGACTTCAATGTCTGACGGTTGACTTAAAATCCTTGGTTATAAGGAATTGAACAAGGGTCACATCAAAAGAAACTAGGAAGGAAACCCTAAAACTTTATAAATACATAGAAGTAAGTCAATTGCTACAATGGCACTCATGAAGATTTGAAAAAAAAAGTTTTTTTTAAAAAAAACAGGTGGGATTAGCTAGGAAGCTAAGTAAGCTGATTGACAAAGCTACTATATTGATGCCTTTCAAGGGGAAGTGAGTAGTTTGATGATGCTGACTATATATTTGAATTAAGGACCAGTAGTTACTATAGTTAATATGTATCTCCACACACACTCATATATATCAAAAGCAATGATTTGTATCTAGGGTTTACTTTCTAGACACAAAACTACACTCTAATTTGTTGAAGGCATGCAGAGATGCTGCTCCATGATATATACAAGCTAGTTTGAAATCGGAAACCCTAAAATCCTAGAAACACAACTACCACACATGAAAATCAAAATCAAAAATAAGAATAAAGTATTTGTTCATTTATTCCATGAGAGAGCATTTTGATAAGCTGACCAAGAAAATAGATACACAAGAAATTCAAGGATCCAAACCAGTGATAATCTAGGATGTTCCAAGCTTGCAACCATACAGAGTCTCATGCTGAGCCTTTAAATTCGAAGATCAAGCTTTTCATGTGTTAAAAACTTAAAACTAAGAAAATAAAAAAAACACCACTTAAACTAGTTTAAGGACTATATAGGTTTTACAAAGGAAGATGTCTTAATTTCACCCCTTTCTGTTTTGGAGCTATTTTCTGTTGGGACAACATTGGATTAAAATGGTGGTATGTTTCTGAAGATTCTATCGAAGTTGCAGCAGAGTGGATGACATTAAAATAATGAAGCAAAACTCTGGGAAATTCCCACCTTACTAACTCCCAGCAAGTTGCAGCCAAGATGTCAAAGGAATCTATCATAGTCCTATGTCCCTTTTTATAAGGGTTCCAGAGAAATCTGTGACAGAAGTTCCATCTGATCCATGTGTCAAAGAAATACATACCTTTTATTGGTTAAAAAAACTCTACTAAGAGTACAGTTCTCCACCATACCAGTCAGCAGTTAGGACTGAAGAGGCTTTGGTCGGTCGATGAGCTAAATCATATCAATAATGGCCTATAATCAAGCTTTCAAGCTTCTAAGGCCCCCAATAGAACACCAAGATAACAAATATAGATCAACAAGTTACTATAAAGAGTGGTCACTGGAGAAGTAGTAAAAGAGATAAGTCTTCAATAAAGCAAATAATTAAGCTGAGAAAACCAAACAGCAGAACAACCATATCACTGACTCAGCTTATTAGGGTTTTCTCGAGATCAAATCCACCTCTCCCCTACCGGTACAAATTTACACTGCCCAATCTACAATGCCATTACTGCAGCTCGCGATATCGAAGATCGTTGAAAGCACACTCTTGCAACGTCCCTTGTTGAAGATATTCATAGTTTGAAGCAACATGAGGAAAAACCAGAGAACTTATCTCACCCCAACCCATGCTTTCCCCACAACTAGTCCCACTTCTCAGATTAACCATGTCCCCATACAAAAACTCTAGGCCTTCCAATCTAGGCGTCTTGTCATATAAAATTCCCTCAAGCTCATCTGGAAAACTGCTTTCTCCTGGCAATAGAGCCAGGCCTGCACTATCTATGTTGTATTGGTTGTTGGGCAATGGAGAAACAGTTGTGTTCAAGGCATCCATGGGAGCAGAAGAGTGCATATTAATGGCGTTCTCGCATCGTTGTTGATGGTAAGAAATATCAATAGGAAACTGAAGATTTGTTGGGTTATCGACAGTTTGTAGCTTATTGATAGGTTGATCTTCATCAGAAAACCTTCCTCCAAGCTTTATCAGCAATTTTCTGATTGAAGCATGATCGTTGAAACGTGGTTCTTCGTTCAAATAAGGTATCGGAGGCAGTACAGGAAGCTCTGGCCAGTATGGGTTTTGGTTATTGGTATCAGAAACCATGGAGTTTTCCCTTCCTTTCCTCATGATCTCTCGCTTTTGGCAGCTACCTCTACGTGCTGCTTGTTCTTTGCGCTGTTTACCAAGTAACTTCTTCTTCAATCTCGTGTTCCAATAGTTCTTGATATCGTTATCAGTTCTTCCAGGTAACTGTGCCGCAATAATAGACCACCTGTTCATCACAATACAAGAGATCACCATAGGTATGATCTAGCGTGTGATCATCTTAATTACGCCATTAGATGCATAGACTAGTTCTTCCATAGAACAAAAATACAATAATTTTCAACAATGGTCTTAAGGCTACACTGAGCATGCTCTCGAGACGAAGAATAATAGTTGAATCAGTGAAGAACGCATATATACCTGCTTCCAATACTTATATATAGGCTGCAGATTATGTTATCTTCTTCTTCGGAGAAGCCTCCATGTCTGATATTTGGACGGAGATAGTTTAACCATCGGAGGCGGCAGCTCTTCCCACATCTCCTGAGGCCTAATTGAGAAACAATATTACTCATGAATCATGTATGAAATTAGCAAGTTCAATCAAATTCTACAACTTTTATTTGGAATTTACAGAAGAAAAGTACAAGGCAAAAGGGGGGNACATCTCCTGAGGCCTAATTGAGAAACAATATTACTCATGAATCATGTATGAAATTAACAAGTTCAATCAAATTCTACAACTTTTATTTGGAATTTACAGAAGAAAAGTACAAGGCAAAAGGGGGGAAATGAACTAAATCATCGTTTTGTGGTCGATCTTTACCAATTTTTTGAGGCAAAGCAATCCAGTTACCACCAGTGCCATGCTTTTCAATATAGGATTTGAGCTTAGCATCTTCTTCTGGTGACCAGGGACCCTTCTTCACATTGGCTTTGTCACAGCAAGGAGCTCTCCCCATATTTACTTTGTGCCGTGTGGGGAACTTGCTGTTAGCTTCACTCTTCTTCTTTCTTGAGAGAGGAGTTATATGAGAGAGAGAGAGAGAGAGAGAGAGAGAGATTATAATAACTAGAAAAGGATAAACATGTTTCCTGGAGCAGCCATATGATATAAAAGGGNCTCTTCTTCTTTCTTGAGAGAGGAGTTATATGAGAGAGAGAGAGAGAGAGAGAGAGATTATAATAACTAGAAAAGGATAAACATGTTTCCTGGAGCAGCCATATGATATAAAAGGGGGTATGGCATAAAGATGAGTGTATGTATAGAAAATTATAAGTGCCTGAGAATAAGTGAGGATTTTTCTTCTTGTCTTTCTCATCTCAGAATCATTAATATTACCGACCAACAAAAAGAAAATATCATAAAAAATTTGAGTCCAGTGTTTCTAAATAACAATCTATTTTTTTTTTATGATAAAAAATATCTGAACTAACTTATGCGCATTTTGATTAATTTCTTATCTGATGTGATCAATANAAAAAGAAAATATCATAAAAAATTTGAGTCCAGTGTTTCTAAATAACAATCTATTTTTTTTTTTTTATGATAAAAAATATCTGAACTAACTTATGCGCATTTTGATTAATTTCTTCTCTGACGTGATCAATGACAAATAACTAGTATTATATTGATGGGATGTGGTGTATCCTTTTGTATTCCGGAGGGAGATTAATTTTTCTCACTTGAATTATGCATAATTTCAGCTCCAAGTCTCATGAAATCTCCTAATTTTTTTATNATTCCGGAGGGAGATTAATTTTTCTCACTTGAATTATGCATAATTTCAGCTCCAAGTCTCGTGAAATCTCCTAATTTTTTTATATATGAAACTCTTTTTATGTGATGTATACAAAAGTAACACTCAGGTTTTTTTTTTTCCTTGAGACTAATTAACAACCGCTTCACTCTCTATTAATTAGCTAATAATATATATAGCTTAGCGGCGGAACCATTCAATACTTTGTCAATTTTTTCTTGCAAATAAATTTTTATATATGTTTTGATATACAATATTTAAACATGCACCGTCAAAAAAAACTCTCATACAGATTAATCCAATGAATCATTTCTCACGTTTAGGTAAATTTACTAAACTATTAGATATTTAAGTTTAGATAATTAGTTTGGTGAATCTCCCTTCTCAACATGTTATCAAAAAAATCATATTGAAGCTCTTCTCTCTCTCTCTCTCTCTCTCTCACACACACACACCCCATTGTCGATTTGGATGTATTGTGAGATTATTATGTAATGCTTTTAAAATATAAAAATTAGTTAAAAATAATTATAAATTAGAATTGTTATTAATCAATATTTTAGGTATTGTATTTATTATCAATTCCTCCTTTTATCTTATTATTGATAAAATTTTCTCCCACTATNCATTGTCGATTTGGATGTATTGTGAGATTATTATGTAATGCTTTTAAAATATAAAAATTAGTTAAAAATAATTATAAATTAGAATTGTTATTAATCAATATTTTAGGTATTGTATTTATTATCAATTCCTCCTTTTACTTATTATTGATAAAATTTTCTCCCACTATGATAAATTTTTGGCTCCGCCCCTAAATATATATAATGTGGTATATATTCTTCATATAATTATGTACTATTTACACTGAATTTTTTGTAAATATTTATTATAAAGTAATAGACTTATTGGTTATCCACTGTGCAGTAATGTAAAACAAATAATCAATTTGTATGAGAGAGAGAGACTAATGCAAAAGAAATGTATCTAGAGTTTGATACATTGCGTTGAAAGTTCAAAAACTTAGTCAAATTTACCTGATACCGTAATATCTTATGGTCTTAACTAAGAGAATTCTTTTTTTTTTTTTGATCAAAACTAAAAATTCTAGAAGCAAAAGGACAACGAACTGCTAGGCACTCAAAAAATGTAGTAAAAGGTTAAATTTCCATTCTGGTTGGTCACCAAATGACCTTCAAAACGAAAGAAGCCCGATGACTTTAATGTCTGATGGGTAAAAGTGAAACCCATGGGCTGCCCATAACAAGGCCATATCGGCCCGTAACCCCCGGGCCTCCGACTTTCGGATCACCTCTTTGAGGAAACCCAAACCCTCTTGGCCAACCGACTTTTTGGTCGGGCCGAGGCCTTTTTAAGGATCGTTTTATACCATCTGAAACGCTGTCATACATGATCATTGTCGGCATTACAGAAGCAACAAATTCCATCGGTCATGCTCCCACAGAATCAAAGAAGACGTCACCAAGTTGCAATACACTTCACGGAGAAGCTAAGTGTCAAGTCACTGGGCGTCACATACTTGGCCTCCATGAACTTATGCATAGAGAGAGAGAGAGAGAGAGAGAGGGCTTGGTTAGTGCATGACAGATATGCCTTTGTTGCCATGCGCCAACATCATCAAAGTTTTACTCAAGACAGTCTCTGTTGTCCAATCCTTTGAAAAGAATTTAGTTTGAAAACAACTTGAATGTAGAATTTGGAATTTGTTTTTGTTTGTTTGAACATGTGCATTCAATGTTTGTTGAGGCGAAAAAGTATAATCCAAGCATATCATTGACTTAATCCGACAGCAATCTGCCAGTATAACTTGAAAATTTTGTTTTAATTGATGTGGGCTATTACGTTGAATGTGATTTGAACCGTTTTGTGGATTCATTTGAATCAATTGTATCTAGCAGATTTAATATGACGACAATGGGATAATCAAAACTCTGTAGTGTTGAAAATTAAATTGGGTCTGAATATTGGAAGATAATCTTGTTTTTAGAGTTGTCATATCTTATTAAGTTCTCTTAATGAGGTGTGTTAGTTGGTTAATGATATAACAATATAGAACAAGAGGGCAAGAGTTAGTTGATCATGTAATAGTGTGTGGATGTAATACTAAGAGTTATGGCTTAGACCTATTTAAATAAGATAGGTGGGTTGAGTAAAGAGTACAAGTGCTAGTGTAATTGTAATCTCCTTGATTGAAATGAAATTATTATTCTTGAGTGTGTTCAATTGCTTTCTCTCTATTTCATTCCATTACATTTCTAGTACTCTTGTCTCTAATAAATTTGTATTAGAACTATTTTCTAACGGAAATACTATTAGAGTAATTCCAACACAGAATGCAACATTGAATTGGGGAAAAAAATAAACAAAATAGGGTTCACATATGAAGATTAGAGAAAATAATTCTAAACTGAATTTAAGTTTTTTTCGATTCGAGTTTAAACTTTTTTGAATTCTGTTTGAGTCTAATTAGATATGAATCTAAATTTTGACAATGTGTGTACTGCATCACCAAGACTATACGTCTCTCTCTCTCACACACACATGTACTCCAAGACTGCATGGACCTACATAATTGAAATATCTATCATTTAATTTTGACTATCTTGGGTCCTCAGGACAGCTCAGACCGACTTTCTTCTCCAGGCAGTTTTATCTTTCTGCTTTTTTTGAAGAAACAAAGGGAGAAATAACTGTTCAACACAATGGGGGCGGAGGTAAGAAGGGGAATGTTTCCACCCTCATATATTTTTTCTTACCATTAATAATATACACTTCCAAACTTTTTTTAAGTAATTTTAATCATGCCCATCCTCTTTTTTTCTTTTTACATCAATTATTATAAATGCATTAATTCCTAAATAACTACCAACTTTTAAACTCGTTTCTGACTTATCTAGACAAACTTTGAATATATTAAGGTCCTTTTTTCACTGTTTGAAAAATTATATGAATTATTTGTAAATTGTACTAGTATTAGTGTCATGAGACATTTCACAACTGTATGACTCTCTAATGACTATACTATCCTACAGCATGGTGCGAATTATCTTTATTAGAGGTTCTATGGTCGATGACAACACTATGAAACTTCGCAACACTTGACATTTTNCTTGACTTAATCCGACAGCAATCTGCCAGTATAACTTGAAAATTTTGTTTCAATTGATGTGGGCTATTACGTTGAATGTGATTTGAACCGTTTTGTGGATTCATTTGAATCAATTGTATCTAGCAGATTTAATATGACGGCAATGGGATAATCAAAACTCTGTAGTGTTGAAAATTAAAGTGGGTCCAAATATTGGAAGATAATCTTGTTTTTAGAGTTGTAATATCTTATTAAGTTCTCTTAATGAGGTGTGTTAGTTGGTTAATGATATAACAATATAGAACAAGAGGGCAAGAGTTAGTTGATCATGTAATAGTGTGTGGATGTAATACTAAGAGTTATGGCTTAGACCTATTTAAATAAGATAGGTGGGTTGAGTAAAGAGTACAAGTGCTAGTGTAATTGTAATCTCCTTGATTGAAATGAAATTATTATTCTTGAGTGTGTTCAATTGCTTTCTCTCTATTTCATTCCATTACATTTCTAGTACTCTTGTCTCTAATAAATTTGTATTAGAACTATTTTCTAACGGAAATACTATTAGAGTAATTCCAACACAGAATGCAACATTGAATTGGGGAAAAAAATAAACAAAATAGGGTTCACATATGAAGATTAGAGAAAATAATTCTAAACTGAATTTAAGTTTTTTTCGATTCGAGTTTAAATTTTTTTAAATTCCGTTTGAGTCTAATTAGATATGAATCTAAATTTTGACAATGTGTGTACTGCATCACCAAGGCTATAGATCTCTCTCTCTCTCACACACACACACACATGTATTCCAAGACTGCATGGACCTACATAATTGAAATATCTATCATTTAATTTTGACTATCTTGGGTCCTCAGGACAGCTCAGGCCGACTTTCTTCTCCAGGCAGTTTTATCTTTCTGCTTTTTTTGAAGAAACAAAGGGAGAAATAACTGTTCAACACAATGGGGGCGGAGGTAAGAAGGGGAATGTTTCCACCCTCATATATTTTTTCTTACCATTAATAATATACACTTCCAAACTTTTTTTAAGTAATTTTAATCATGCCCATCCTCTTTTTTTCTTTTTACATCAATTA